GTAATCCATTCATGTTTTTTAAATAATCTATTTTATATTTTTAATCTATTCTTTCTGCTTCTCTATAAGATCCATAACAATTGTAAAATTATATCTCACTCATAAAAACTTATAAAATAGTGTCAAGGATAGCCAATTATGCATAATTATTATATCTTTATTAATCTCCATTTATTCTATTTGATGCATTGATCCCTATTTTGATAAATATATGTATCCCCAGATACTACAAATGTGAATGTTAATTATAATTAGTATATAATGATTATTTATTCCAGTGTTTAATTTAGTTCCATCTTTTTATATTTAATAAATTGTTATGGATAAAATTAAACACTCATTCAGAAAATTATTATATATCAGTTGCTCTTGTTATTGTGGATTTTAAAACAATCTAAATTCTTTAGGTTTAGCATTTAAAGCATGCTGCAGAATTCTAAATATAGAATGTTATTTATCAAACTCAAATCTGTACCTATTTAAATAAATAATCAAAGAGTTTAAATAAAAATGAGTTTGTAAATCTAAAAAGAAAATTGTAAATCACATATTTTAGTGATGTAATACATAAAGTAATAACATCCAATACTATTTAAATCTTTCTCTCAAATAAACTAAAATAATCTGATCATAATGCTTGACCTCTTAAATCAACAATAATAATTTTGAAATAATAAAATCTCTTATTTTATTATATCTCTAAATTTTTTTTGAATATGTGCTCCTTTTAATTACTATTAATAGAACTTTCAACTGACTAATCATTACTTGTATCTTTGCAGTAACATCTTTAATACCAAATAAACTTCCATGAATTATAAATAAAACTTGATGTTAATTATTTAGTTCTCCTCATTAAAAAATAAAAAACTATTCTTATTAATTTATCCATTAACTTTATTCTATAAACATCATTAGTCAATACAGAATTTAATTTATGCTCAATTTTTTACCATTTTACCAATACTTGCTCTAGGTTTCATTCCTATATAATCGTTTTATAATGTATCATTAAAATATTCTCAAATTAAAGCAGTATATGGTCAGGGCATTCAGTTTGCTTTACATAAGTATGAGTTTTACAATAGTTTAAATCAACTTCTTAACATCAAAATTTTTCATCTTTTTATAATAAGTTAGAATTATCGAGTGTCTAAACACAACTTTCGAGTAATATTTGGAGAGTCTTAAAGAATTTTAGATTATTAAGGAAATATTGTATGTGATAATATAATTAATGCAATATATATATTTTATTTTTTAATTAATTTATAAATATCTTAATAGAATTACAATTAAATATTTAACCTATTAATTTATTAGGTATTTAATAAAAAATATAAGTCTAAAGACAATGAATGGAAAAAAATTAACAAAATTCGATAATGGAGATGAATATTATGGAGATTTTTTAAATGGTAAAAAGCATGGAAAGGGTGAATATAAATGGGCTAGTGGAAATGTATATTATGGAGATTGGGTAGATGATAATAGAACTGGGAAGGGTCAAATGAAATGGAATGATGGATCTTTATATGATGGAGATTGGTTAAATGATAAAAGACATGGAAAGGGTGAATATAAATCAGCCAACGGTGAAAAATATAATGGTAAATGGGTATTAGACGAAAAAATGTGAATTNTCCAATACTATTTAAATCTTTCTCTCAAATAAACTAAAATAATCTGATCATAATGCTTGACCTCTTAAATCAACAATAATAATTTTGAAATAATAAAATCTCTTATTTTATTATATCTCTAAATTTTTTTTGAATATGTGCTCCTTTTAATTACTATTAATAGAACTTTCAACTGACTAATCATTACTTGTATCTTTGCAGTAACATCTTTAATACCAAATAAACTTCCATGAATTATAAATAAAACTTGATGTTAATTATTTAGTTCTCCTCATTAAAAAATAAAAAACTATTCTTATTAATTTATCCATTAACTTTATTCTATAAACATCATTAGTCAATACAGAATTTAATTTATGCTCAATTTTTTACCATTTTACCAATACTTGCTCTAGGTTTCATTCCTATATAATCGTTTTATAATGTATCATTAACATATTCTCAAATTAAAGCAGTATATGGTCAGGGCATTCAGTTTGCTTTACATAAGTATGAGTTTTACAATAGTTTAAATCAACTTCTTAACATCAAAATTTTTCATCTTTTTATAATAAGTTAGAATTATCGAGTGTCTAAACACAACTTTCGAGTAATATTTGGAGAGTCTTAAAGAATTTTAGATTATTAAGGAAATATTGTATGTGATAATATAATTAATGCAATATATATATTTTATTTTTTAATTAATTTATAAATATCTTAATAGAATTACAATTAAATATTTAACCTATTAATTTATTAGGTATTTAATAAAAAATATAAGTCTAAAGACAATGAATGGAAAAAAATTAACAAAATTCGATAATGGAGATGAATATTATGGAGATTTTTTAAATGGTAAAAAGCATGGAAAGGGTGAATATAAATGGGCTAGTGGAAATGTATATTATGGAGATTGGGTAGATGATAATAGAACTGGGAAGGGTCAAATGAAATGGAATGATGGATCTTTATATGATGGAGATTGGTTAAATGATAAAAGACATGGAAAGGGTGAATATAAATCAGCCAACGGTGAAAAATATAATGGTAAATGGGTATTAGACGAAAAAATGTGAATTTTTGTTGTTGTTTTATTATAAGGACATTATAATTTACATTTGATTTGCTCTTTTATATATATAAAAAGATAAATTTAGTACCGATATACTAAAGGAATATCTTTAGTTTAGATTCATTTTATGTTTCTCAATAGTGTATAATGATATAATGTGATATTTAATGTAATTTATGACTTTAATTATTGAGTTGCATAAAGTAAATAATTAGAATAAGCCAATAGATAAAAGTGACAAGAAATCTGTCATATTCTTTTTTCCAAATTTATAAAAGGATTGAAAATTTAAAATAAATTATCATAATTTTATTTCCATAATGTAGGGAAACTATTATATTTTTAAATAAGTCTCAAAATTAAATTTAATTGGAAATTTGTAAAGATTGATCTTCTAAAAGAATTTAAGAATCAGTATTAAAGTTGTGAAATATGTTCTAAAAAGAAGCATTAGAAATTATTGAATATAATGAGAGAGAGAAATAAGGATATTTACCTCAACATGAGTTCATGATTTCTCAAATCATTTAAAGAGATTCATTTTGAGATTTACTAAGAATGTATTTTCTCTAAAATGTATTAAGGAGACAAAATTTAACTTAGAAGTGCGATAATTCTGAATATAGAAGAAATGTAATTTAAAAATGAATTTTTTATAAGTAGTAGGTCCAGAAAAAAATTATTGATAATGTGAGATTGAGAGAAGAGAGAAATAAAAAGATCAAACAATATTGAGAAGTGAAAGAAGAAAAAAGATTTGAGAAGTTTGATTAATTGAGTTGAAATGTTTTTGGGATGATATTTAATTGAAGATGAGAATAAATAGAATAGATTATAAAAAATTGAAACTGATTTTTAGAATGCATTTTTGAAAATTTTTAGATCAAAAATGAATGCTTATTGCACAACTGCATTTATATTTATTGAACAGTCCTAAATTTTCAGAAATCTTAGAGAGGGTGGCCGAAGTAGATACAATCTATTATCAGAATATTAATTGAAAAAAATACAAATAGAATATAAATTACTTATAAAGAGTAACAAAAAATTTAAAGTAAGTAATGCAAACACATTCTCTAAAACTTTTGAGTAAGATTTTTTATAAAGAAATTTCAATCCATTTTTATATATAATCCATGTTTAATATGATAGTCCATCTAAGATTACAGGAAAAATGAACTTAAATGATTGAGCTTACATAAGTCTTCGATCTTAATTAGGTCTAAACATCCATTCTCAAATTGATGATCCTTAATATGATTGCAATCATATTAATGGCAACAAAATATTCTTCTTCTTCTGTCGCTTAGTCATCTGCTGAAATGTACCAACTTACTCCCTATCTTGCATATACAAAATTGGGTATTTCTGTTAATCCATAAGTAACGAATTCTTAAATTCTTGTTTGTGAAATCATCTTCCAAAATACATTGCAAATTCTTATCTTCTTCTCTTGATCAATTTGAATCAACTTACTTCTTTTCACAAAAATATAATCATCTCTGAGTTTAAGAAACTTTCTGATTGAAACTCCTAACCATTTTGATTAAATTGGATATTTTGTCGTGGAAGCTCTGAGATGATAATATTCAATAGCGTGACAACTTTCTTTTTATTTATAGGAGAATGATAATGTAGTTTTCAAGAACCCAATAAATCCATCTATTTCAGTGTCCAAGTTCCACTTTTCCTTAAGGAGTTCATGATTCTTGTAATCTTTCTAAATATTTAACATTTATATTTGCCTAGGTGAAATAACATTAGATAATTTTTTATATTTATTGGATCAATTGTTTTTAAGTATGCATCATGTGTAAAGATTAAACTTACTATTATTCTCAATCTTTATATGGAGAACATATACTTAAAGGGTTAGATATAAGTCAAAAGACAACCTTTTCCACTTTAAGAAACTTTACATTTGTTACTTAAGTAAGATCTACATTTAGAGTCATCATTGTAATCCAAGGTAGCAGGAGTCGTTTTACAAGATTTATCTGCATATTAAGAAGAGGTTTTAATCCATGCACATATATGTTTCCCCTTTCCAATTGATCTGGCATTGTTTATTACACAATAATATTACTAGCAATACATCTACTATTTTTTGATTGATAACAACTATTTATTCGAGTATAGCTCGTACCTTAAGCAAATTATAAGCTACATGCACTCTTAGCTCTATATATACTACATACTGTGTTGTATGATTAATAAAGGTCATAGGGTATAGTTGCATCAGATTCAGATATCTTTGCACATATTAGTTCCTGGATTTGGAATAGTAATAAAGTAGTATTATTACTGTAAAGAGATTAATACTTATATAAGATATATATATTATCTTAATAAATATAAATCTCTTATTAAAATATGATAATAATAAATGTAAATAAATACCATTTTCTAATTGATGATCTAGTACATCCAGCTACAGTTTCTGGATAGTCTTCACATGAATTTTTGAGCTCTTAACATCCAGTACCATCTCAAATCGATGTACAACCATTGAAGTAGGCTTGACATTTTTCATAATCCTACCCTGTTAATCCAGCTATTGTTGAACAATATGCCTTACTAATTATACTAATCCAAGAACGACCACTAAGAAAGCATTTACCTGTTGGAATATTGATACAGGAATTGTTATTAAAATACCTTGTTCAAATTTGCTAAAATATATAACATCCAGATCTATCTCTTAAAGAAGTATATAAGGAATTATAAGCTTAACATTTAGCACGGTCAAAACCTGTTAATCCAATTAGAAGGATACACTCAAATGCTTAAGTCACAAAAAGAAGAAGGTACAGCATTATTCATATCCAACAATCCAGCATTTAATCTAAAAATTTTTTAATAATTGTTCAAATCCTGAGCAATGAGCAAGTAGATTAAGACAATACATCCAATACAAACTTTTTTTTCAGAACATGATGCATCAACTGTTTAACAATAGGAAAATGTTAAATTTACTCCAGTTTTTAGAGTAAAATCTACTGTGCAGATAGATTAAGCAGAAGCACTACCAACATTTGTACATCTAATTCTATATTATTAATAAATGAACTATGTTCCTATGAATGATGAACAAGCTCCTGTTGCAAATATAGATAAAGAATTGAATTTATCAAAAATCCATTTACAATACTCAACTCCTGTTTAATTTGAGATAATTTAATGAAATTGCTCTTATTTCATATAATGTGTAGTTTTTTTGGAGCACATCCTATCCCTCCAATTTTGTATAATACATGCAAGTTGGTACAGGATAACCCTAACATTCTTGATCTGAATCATATGCTATTGTATCTGGAGCATCAGCACAAGTTGCGTTTCTGCAAACTATACAAGTCCAATAGCATTTTTTATTCTTAGTTGTTATTATACAGTTATCTTAAGTGTTGTAAGTAGAACATGAATCTTACAGTGGTTAAAAATTAGTTTAACCATTATTTACTGTGCATAGATCAAATGTACTATTACAATCATTATGAATAATTGTTATTATATTTGCAAATCTCTTATCAACACTATTAGATACATTCCAATAACAATTACCACTCATTGTAGACCCAATTTTACAGTCGTCTTAGACTAATGAATTACAACTAAAAGGTTTATTCATGCATCCATTAGATGTATTATTTGAAATACAAGAATTCTATGTCTAAATACAAGCACATTATGCATCAGTTTTTACAGATAGAGTTAAATAGCTTGAACAATTAACAACTGAAAATTATTTTGGTGAAATTGCATTAGTTATTCCTACTAGAATAGCTGATGTACAAGACTTTTTAAAACAAGATGAAGAAGATGAAACCCTTATGCAAGTTGGAAATCCTACTCTTTATATTTCACAATTTTCAGATATTCTTCTGGCTGAACATGAAGTTGGCAAATCTTAACATCTTTGATAGTAGAGGACCCATTTACTATTATAGGAGTATTAACTCATCCTAACCTTTTGTCCCTTATAGTACAACTGGAATGATAATTTTAACAATCAGTGTGAGTGGTTATGGATGATGAAGCTAAGACGCAAAGGTTCTTTTAACATTTACCTTTCCATATATAAATCTTATTGTTAATGTCTTTGTCACAAATAGCTAATATCAATGAATTTTCACATGTTTTGTCAACTTATCCTGTATTTGTAGAATTGACAGTATATTTATTCAAAAAAGATTAACAAAGTTCATGTGTTTTATTATCTGAAGGTGCATTCAAAAATGTCTTATTTTTGCAACTGTACTTTTTGAATCCCAAAAACAAGCAAAACCTAGGGAATTCTTAATAAAAGCAGTTTCCTAAGTAATTGCTGAACAAGTATTATTTTTACTGTATCCCCACTAGTTTTTGCAATACAATTCTATGCTGGTTGATATGTTTCACATTCTCCATTTGTTGTTATAGTAATGGGGGCATTAGTACATGTTCTATTTTAATAACCACCAATTGATTTAACAGTACAGGATGCTAAATAAGATGCATATAGTTGATGAGAATTATTTGATAATAGTGCATTCGTACATATCTTTTCTTTGCAAGTTGCATCCATAATAAAAGTAATCCCTATGTAGTTCTATAAACAAGCTATTTGTATATTTACTACTGAATTTGGCTCATTTAAACTCAAACTCCACTTAATTTAGTAATGCATCCTGTTAAGAATCCTGCAAAGTCAGAATTAGTAGTTAATGTAATTAGAGCATTTGCATAGAGTTTATCAACACAATTTACACCATCCCAATAGCAATTCTTTCCTAATATATTCTAGATACAATGCTTTTGAATTGTTGCAGCAGTACATCATCAGTTATCAATTTTTAGAAGAATTATCACAATTTCTATCTTTACAATTTTTGCACTATCCCACAAATAAACTGTTGTTTTTGATTCGTTCCAAACACATTATCTATCTAATTTTAAATCAAAATAATTATTTACAGTTATTAAACATCCACCTCCACCCTTTGTAGTACATGTCCTTATGGCATCTCTGCAAACTTTGTCAGAAATTAAACTTTATGGTAATTTATCGCAAGTGTTAGAATCTACATATGTATTATTTGTTGAATCCCAATAGCATGAATTTCCTACAGTTTTTTTGATACAAACTATTTATTTTTTATAAGTAGTGCAATCATCTATTTCCATACAAAGAGTTCCATCTGATATAAATCTATTACTTATTGCTTAACATTTTTAATCTGATTTTTTAGCAAATGCTCCACAACTTTAAAAAAATGTAAATTTGTTTTCCACCTATGCACAAGCTGAATAAATGAATCACAATATGTTGCATAACTAGGTATTGGAGGGTAGTTGTTTTTGAAATTTAACAAACTTTTTTTGTACTATCTTATTAAAATATTGTTGAGACATTTTAATACATTTTTCCTCAGATTATAATTGAATAAAATAGCATCGTGTTATTCTATATTATTGACTTGTTACTAATAATAATAATTATTTTATACTCAATTAACCAACAAACATTAATTGCAGCTACAATTAGATATACTCTATTTTATCTTAATTATTCAATCTAATTTAATACTCACTTTAATCAATTTTATAGATTAATATTTTAATCAAAATCATTATCAATATAATTTTTGCTCATTACCTCAAATAGTCAAATTCCATACTTCTGAGTGTCTATTAATACCTTATAATTTGACCTATTCTGTTATTTGTTATTATATTATCAACAATCCTCAAAAAACATTAGTATTATCTATCACTATCCTAGAATAAATTATCATTAATTTTAAAATATATGATACAATCGATTACATCCTACTTAAACAATGCAACTCACCTAAACTATGCCTAAATATTTGCGAAAATATTTGTTGTATGTGAATTTAAAAGAAATATAATTAAGAGAAAAGAACATTCTTTGGATTGCAGCAATTGCAGAGTAATCGTATTTTCAATGAATTGAATTTCAGTGATAAAAGGTACTCAATTATAGAAATAAAAAAATTCATACAAGAAGAACCATCACTCGAATAATCTCGAATTAGATTTATCGATCTGGGAAATATAAATAAAAATTGATTAATACTATAATTACTTCAGACACATTAACCCTAGAAAGAAGAAGACAATCCTACAAATCTTAGATGCATATATTGAAAACTTAACATAAGAAGAAACACAATCATTACAAGATGCCTTGTCCATCTATTTAGATAATACATATTAAGGAAAGGAAATGGAGAACTTAATTTGTGGAGAAAAGGATTAACCAGAACCATTATTATGTCATATTTATAGCTTAATGATATTTGATAGACTAAGCAGACATTATGCTAGATATGAATATCTTGATCAATTTAGAATTATCGAATATTTTAATCAAAGAGATAAAGTATTTATAAATTTATATATTTCTCTATAAAATTTAAGTAAAAATTAATAGAGTTAAGTATGTGTTCACTTTCCATCCAACTTAACCAAATTCATTGACTGAGTTGATTACTAAAAGTAGAATGCTTCAAAGGATTGAATAAAATGATTATAAGTATCTTAATTATGCTGTTAAATTATTTATTCAATCAAAAAAATAAAGAATATTTAAAGAAAATTACCCATCTTATTATTATATAGAATATTTCTTATATTGAGGAATCATTAATTTATCATGCTGAATTTTTACCTAATCTATGATTAAGGTTGACTCAATCAAACCAATAATAAAAAATAAATCCAAAAAAATCTCGCTTTTAAATGCTAATGCAAAAGCATCAGAGATGGTTATTATTGCTAATTTCAAAACTTAATCATAGTAAATATAATGTTTAGAATGTAGAAATAAAACCTTTATTGGAAACCTTTTCTTTAACAAATAATACTGATTCTAAAATAACTATGATTGCAAATAGTGACACATGATAAAGATATAGATTGATCTTGACTGAAATTAGAAATATAAGAGAATATAAAAGGAATCCTGAAAAATTCATTTATATGGTCTAGGGTATTACTCCAGAATGAGGAGGTGGACCATATACATTGATCCATACAAAATATTAGGCCTTAATTAGAGAAGAACAAACGACATATAAGAACTACCTAATGACACTATTTCACATCTGAGTTTGCTGTTGCCTTCCCTTTTTGTTGAATGGATTATCTAATATTAATAATAGTGATGATTTTGAACTCTCTTTTAAATATATGGATTTTGATTTGAATTAGGTAGATTGTTAATTAAAATTGGATAATGTAATTGGAGTTCTTTAAAGAGCCATGTAAAAGACTAAAAATATAATAATTAGTATGTAAAAAATTAGTTAGTCAGAACCAAGGTTGAGTCTTTCAATTTTGCAGGAAGTAGAATGATTTCTAGACCTTTTGAAAGTTCAAGCCTATTTTAATAGTGATAGATACTCATTCACTCATCCATAATTAACATATTGGGATAGAGTTCCAGAAGAATTAATCTATAAAATAGCAACTTATTTTTAAAATAATCATCCTCAAAAGAAATACATGCTTTATATCTAGGCTTTGATGGGTATAAGATGTGATTTAGATTTTTCAAAATAAGAAGTTGGATTGGATTCAACTAATCCTTATTTTCAAGCTATATAAAAGGAAGAGAAGCTTTGATGAAAATATTAGATTAATTAGGTTTGGGTGATAATAGTACACCAATGATTGCTACTTGTAATCAACATTGAAGATGTTTATTATGATCAATGAAAAAGGAAGCCAATTAAAAATTTTCAACCATTTAGGACCTTGAATTAATCACAATTGTATTAGGCAAAGAAAATGGTAATGAAGGGAATATAAGAAACTTTATTGTAAATTAAATAAAATTTTGAATTTTTTAATCAACATCATCTAGAATGACATCTTTTGTTGGAAAGGGTTGAATGATAGGTCTTAAATAATTAAAAAAGTTATTATATTTATATATAAATTGGTAAAGAATTCCTCTTTTATTTAATTTTGAATTAAAATGGATATTAATTTAGTAATTTTTATTTAAATTATTTTTTGCTTGCATCTAATAAATTATCTTAGTTCTTTTAAGATTAGCTCTTAAAATGTATTTACATAGACTCACTTAATTTAATAACTTAGATATTATTAAATGATAATTTATGTACTATTCAGATTACGTGATTATTATTGAATATTTTTTGATATAAATTGGAAATCAATCTCAATGTTTGCAATTAATAATATTTAAAATTTTCAGTTAACAACTCTATAGTTGTAACTCATACAACTCAATTTTTGGGTCTATCATGGAATCAAATAATTTGAGATTAGAAATAATGGTCTTCAAAGACTAAGAAATGTATCCAAGGAATTGCAAATACTATAAAAATTTCATTTACCTCAGAAATTATTGCTAGCGTTCATCTAGAAAATATTGTCTTTTTAATTATTTATTCTTACGAAAGGTAATTTTTAAAGAATAACGAAAAGCTTAAGGAGCCTGATGAATCATCTTGCACATATTTCCATCACTAACAGCAAGCCAATCAACAGAAAAGAGCCAGAAGCATAAAAATTGAGGTCTAAATGAACTTCTTAAAGTATATGCAATTCCTTCTATATTTGGATCGAATTTGGAGATCATTATGAAAAAAAAAGATTATTCAAGATATTTTTGATACTATATATAATTACCCAATCATAAGTCTAAACATTAAATTGTTATTAATAAATTTTTAATTATTATGAAAATACATATGAAGATATATGTGTATATGATATTCATTCAATAATATAAACTTTTTTATGAAATTCATTTATTCGAAGAATCCCTTAATTATATTATTTTAATATTATCAAAAATGCTTTTTAAATTATTTCTACTTATTAGGATTAACATCTAAAATTGGAAAATAAGAATAAAATTATTTTAAATTACAGTATTTATATGCATCTTTAAGGCATATCTATTTGCTCAAAAAATTAGGATATTGTAGCACTATATTATTATGATTAATAAACTGAAAAGCATAAAAAAGCTTAATCTATAAATATGAAGTTCTTAATCTGATTAATTAGTGACTTAATAATATTCTTTATAAGTATTCAATTTATTTTTGAATTTTTTTGTAATCTGAACAGGATCTATAATATAGGATAATCAGTTTTAGTATTATAAATATATATATATATAAAAATAGAGAGATTTCATATATATAAAGATTTTTAGTATATTTTACGCTAAGATTGGTGGTATATTATTTAATTTTTTCCTCTTAAATCTAATATTCTTTTATATAGTAAGTAAATAAGAGTTAATTTAGAAGAAAATCTTCTTAATTCAAAGTTATCTATTCTCTATTGAAAAAAATTAAAAATACAATATTATTTGAATATAAAGAAATTAAATTAACAATGTAACTGTTATAATTACTAATTTAAACTTCTCCTTAAAATCAACTTATAGGCAGCGATTATATATAAAATATTAAACTTTAAAATAATATTAGAGCTATTTTTCGATTAAAAAGTAAATGATAAAGATTATTTATAATAAATAATCTATGATTATTCTTAAAGGAGAGTAGAATAGATATTTAATTTATACTGGAGTATCTTTTATTCCTTTCGCAGTAACTCTCCCTGATTTTGATTTGAATTACAATTTTGGTCATACATAAACTATACTTTAGTGATTGTTAATTGAAAATAATTTAGTATTTGAGAGTTAAACTCAAATATTTATGGTTATACTACTACTTTTTTGAATTCCTTTATCACATTAAATAGAAAGAAGACAATTAAAATTTAAATGAAATATAAATATATTCTTTTAACTATCAATTAGATTCAGTTCGAAAGCATTAATTCAGTTCAAAGTTCTCACTAACTCTAAATATATGACCTTCATTTATAGAGGACATAATCGTATGGGNTACCCAATCATAAGTCTAAACATTAAATTGTTATTAATAAATTTTTAATTATTATGAAAATACATATGAAGATATATGTGTATATGATATTCATTCAATAATATAAACTTTTTTATGAAATTCATTTATTCGAAGAATCCCTTAATTATATTATTTTAATATTATCAAAAATGCTTTTTAAATTATTTCTACTTATTAGGATTAACATCTAAAATTGGAAAATAAGAATAAAATTATTTTAAATTACAGTATTTATATGCATCTTTAAGGCATATCTATTTGCTCAAAAAATTAGGATATTGTAGCACTATATTATTATGATTAATAAACTGAAAAGCATAAAAAAGCTTAATCTATAAATATGAAGTTCTTAATCTGATTAATTAGTGACTTAATAATATTCTTTATAAGTATTCAATTTATTTTTGAATTTTTTTGTAATCTGAACAGGATCTATAATATAGGATAATCAGTTTTAGTATTATAAATATATATATATATAAAAATAGAGAGATTTCATATATATAAAGATTTTTAGTATATTTTACGCTAAGATTGGTGGTATATTATTTAATTTTTTCCTCTTAAATCTAATATTCTTTTATATAGTAAGTAAATAAGAGTTAATTTAGAAGAAAATCTTCTTAATTCAAAGTTATCTATTCTCTATTGAAAAAAATTAAAAATACAATATTATTTGAATATAAAGAAATTAAATTAACAATGTAACTGTTATAATTACTAATTTAAACTTCTCCTTAAAATCAACTTATAGGCAGCGATTATATATAAAATATTAAACTTTAAAATAATATTAGAGCTATTTTTCGATTAAAAAGTAAATGATAAAGATTATTTATAATAAATAATCTATGATTATTCTTAAAGGAGAGTAGAATAGATATTTAATTTATACTGGAGTATCTTTTATTCCTTTCGCAGTAACTCTCCCTGATTTTGATTTGAATTACAATTTTGGTCATACATAAACTATACTTTAGTGATTGTTAATTGAAAATAATTTAGTATTTGAGAGTTAAACTCAAATATTTATGGTTATACTACTACTTTTTTGAATTCCTTTATCACATTAAATAGAAAGAAGACAATTAAAATTTAAATGAAATATAAATATATTCTTTTAACTATCAATTAGATTCAGTTCGAAAGCATTAATTCAGTTCAAAGTTCTCACTAACTCTAAATATATGACCTTCATTTATAGAGGACATAATCGTATGGGTTAGGAGATTTCTTAAAAGGATAATTACAATTACTTTCTATTATAATAGAGCCTTTGATGTTGAAAAAAATGAACTTTTAATTTAAAATAATTATCTTTTAATTTTTAATTTTTAATATTTCTCATTTTCTTTTAAAATAATTACTCAAAAATTTAAGGTGAGGTTTCAATCTTGTTTTTCTAATAATTTTTGATGGTATTTTATTTTTTTTATAGTTAAGATTCGCCGAAAAATATTTATACATTTTTAAGATTAATATATATTTTTATATTTTTATTATTTCATTTTTCGTAATCTATTTCTTTTACTTTTTTTTCTCTAATCATCCAAATATCAAAATTTTGAGCAATTTTATATTCACCTTTCTTAGTTATTTAAGAATCATTATTAAAACCTTCCGAAACTTTCGCCCAATTTCCCAATTTTGTCTCTTAACCTAGCTCGTCATATGATGCATCACCACTTTTCAAACACATTGATTATTATTTTGAGCGCTTTATATCATATTTTTACATCTTTGTAATTTTATTACTTTCTATATCCTTATACCATATATCCCATCTACCAAACTTTTTTTCCATTTTTATATTTCCCATCCTAAATTACTTAAGAATCTTCACAAAAACCATCCGTTAATTCAACCCAACTACCTTACTTATTGCCTTATTCATCATATGATCCACCACCACTTCAAAGCACACATATTTTTGTATAGTTATACACTTTTTATATATTATTTTTTACATTCTTGTATTTTCTAAATCTCCATACTCCTTCTTATACCAAATATCCCATTTACCAATTTTTTTCCCATTTTAATATTCACCATGATAAATTACTTAAGAATCTTCGCAAAAACCATCTAATATTTCCACCCAATTAGCTGACTTATTGCCTCCTTCATCATATGATCCACCTCCACTTAAAAAATAACAGCATTTTTATTATGATTTTTTTACATCTTTGTAATTGTATTATTCTCTATATCCTTATACCAAATATCCCATCTCCCAAATTTTTTGCCATTCTTATATTCACCATTTTCAGTTACTTAACTGAAATAATAAAATCCCTTCCATATTTCCACCCAATTGCCCTACTTAATTCCTTAACCATCTCCAAATGATCCACCACCACTATTACACACATATGTTAATTTTTATCATAAGTTTTTTTATAGATTATTTTTACATTTTTGAATTTTCATACAAAATATCCCATATACCAACTTTTATACCAATTTTGTACTCACCTTTCCAAGTTACTTATAAATCATCTGAAAAACCTTCCTACAATTCAGTCCATTTACCATTTTTCTAAGCTTGCTGATTGTATGATCCACCTCCTCTATATCGATGATAAATCATAATACATAGTTTCGTTATTTTAAATGAAATTCCATCGACCATATTTTTAATTATGAAAATATCCTCCACTTTCAAATACTTAAGCGTTACTACATAAAGATTTTTTAAATTTGTATACCTCTAATAATTCTTAATTGGCTCCTTCCATAAAGCTTCCTTTAAACCATCTTTGTAGTATCCTCCAACATTTTAAAGAGCTTCCCCACTCCAAGTGGCTACCCATTTGCCTAATTTTCTTTAATTCTGTCCATATTCACCATGCCATTTAAGATGTATAATCTATTCCATATTATTCAAAACTTCTGAATTTATATAATTGTCTTAATTTAATTCCCTTTATAAAAATAACAAATCCTCATATACTGTCTCAAAATTACACCTTCTTTAGATGAGTAGATGATGTAATTCTCTTATGTAATTGTAATTTGAATTTTAGTCTTAACAAGTCTCCCTTTGTTTTAATCCCATTTATCTACTTCTTATTCTTTTATAATTTAGTTCCTCAATATAGAGTTCGAGTACTCAGGCATTTTAGATCTTAATGAAATCATATTAATTATTATTAATCAAATTTGATATTTAGAATGCTTTTCCTTTTTAAATCAGAAGCTTTGTATGATATTGGTTAAGAAGTTGATTTCTGTTAATTCTGAAAGAAATAATTTCGGTCATAAAAACTTCATCCACTAATTTACACTATTATTGTTGTTTATTTATCTGTAATTTAAATTTAAATTTATATTGTAATTTAGACAAGAAATTGTAATATAGTCTTTAATTATAAGTAAATGGATATCAAAATTAAGATTTAAAATAGCAAATGAATATAATAATTTATTCTATAAAGAAAATAACAAGGAATTTCTAAAGAACGTTCAATAAATCATTGAAGCTTTTACTTATAAGCTTCAAGAGAATTTCAAACTCATTAATTAATAATA